GGGGAGGGGGGCTAAGGGACGAGGGAAAACGGGGAAAGGGATAGGAAACCCCCCAAAAGTGTTGTCATCTTTTGATATGTTGTTTCCATTCCCAGCACTTCAAAACGCACAGACAGAGAGGTATGTGCTGTGGGAAAGAAAAATATTCACGCCGAATTTTTTGTTAGCAGTCAGCGACAGCGTAGAATGTGTCGTTTGCTAAAGCCACAACCGGCCACAACCCGTATCTCGCCTCTATGGCTCAGTATCGGTAGCGCGCCAGCCCAGAGCGCGGGAAGGTTGGCGGTTCGAATCCCAGTCGAATTGAAAATTTTCTCAGGCCACCAAATTTCAAATGGACTTCAAACCCGTCATTTCACCACGTCCTTCTGGTGGAGTTCCGGCGGCGTAGAGTGGTTACCGTCCTGGTTAAAACTGCGTCGAAGGTGGCAAAAATGATTCGGTACTGGCCGGGGTTCGACTCACGGCGAAAGCGGGCCGTGGGAGTTCCCTGGTGCCTGGTACCTTGCTGTGGGGGCAGGTGCACCAATAAGACTTGTGAATCTGGCTTTTAAGGAGCTCCATGACCTGTGGTGGGTCAGTACAGTTTGTGGCGCTTACATCGCGCTTTTTGATTCATTTTCTTCATATAAAAGCGCGATTTAAGCGCCAGAAAACGCGATGGTGTTCTACTGTCCCACCAGCGCCAGCTCTCCGACCCGACCCGCGGTCCCGACAGCCCCAAGAGCTGGTCTGATAGCTCCTGATCTGTGCAATTTCGTTACGGCTCATGACGGACATACTTTCTCAATGATAACACCACAATAAAGGCGATAACGAGCTGTAATGTAAGTTCAAGGGCGACTTTATTCCACCCTATCAGCACAAAATTGATTTTGTATTCGTGTCTCTTGCTTTTTGTTTGTTTTGAGTGTGCATCATTCGGGGGTTGGAGGGAAGGGGTGCGTTACTCCGCGGTGCATGCGTTGGCGCTCACCTGGATGGCGTTGTCCGCGATGTTGGCCAGCGGCCCCGCCAGCACCAGCGCGATGAGCGCGGCCCGCAGCGCCGTCCTGCCGCCGCGCGAGCACAGCGCGGGCAGCGCCAGCAGCGCGATGCAGCGCACCTGCGTGGACACGGCGTGGCCGATGGCGAGCAGGGCGACCACGGCGGCCGAGAGGACGACGCCGACGTGACCGCCGACGCCCAGGTCGCGCAGCACGAACCGCAGCAGCAGCAGGCCGAGGAGCGCGCCCCAGAGCGCGCCGGCGGCGGCCCTCAGGCGGCGGTGGCGGCCCCGCGGCGCAAGCAGCAGCCGGCCCAGCAGCACCGCGCCCCAGCGCGGCCCGCACCGCCGCGCGCACAGCACCAGCGCCTCGGCCCAGGCCATGGCGCTGCACGAACGGCACGAACACGCGAGCGAGGGCGACCCAACTCTTTACACCACCAACAATGGGCGACCTTCGGCTCTCGGCTCGGTCAGCCAACTGTCAGCTATGTTGTAGTTGTAACTCAATGTACTGGGTACGAACGGTACGAACTGTGTGTAATGCTCCTCTCGAAGCTCCTCGGACCAGCTTCGAGATAGTACTTTTTTAGCAGATGATACGTAGTAATCAGCAGCTTGTACTCAAGTAAAGTGCAAAAGTCCGTTTGTTAGTTGAAGCGTGAAGTTGTCAGTTGTCAGCGTCAAAAGCAGAAACGCCGTAGCGCTGCCAGAGCGTAAAGTTCAAAATTCGCCAGTTAAAGCAGCAGAAACGCGCAAGCAGTAGTCCAATGTATTTAGGCAGTGGGGCTCTCGCGTGCCTCTGCCCGTGCCCCTGTAGTGCTGTTTTTAAATGTTACTAATGCTTAGTAATGAATTATTAATTGTAAAGCTTCAACAACTGGATGTGGATGTTCTCGAGGAACCAGCCTAAGATCAAAGTGTTTTGACTCCAATGCCTACAAGAAACTCGGAAGACAAAAACATTTCTTATTTTTGAAACATGGCTTGAGATAAATTGTTAAACAAATACAATGAAAAGCCTCCGAGCTATGAAGAGGATTCTTGGTTAAAAACAACAACACTCAATTTCAATAAAGGAATAAAAAATAAAAAGGCAATTATTTGAGGTGTCAGATTTAAAAACAATCTATTATACAATTATTTACATAGAAATACAATTAATGAGTGCCTGCATGCATGGCACTCATTTTCTCTCTGATTATTTGATTATTAACATGATAACAAAATTTTCTTTACAATACAGGTAATTTTTTGGTGATAAGACACATTAGTTTGAGACACTCATGATGAGTGCTGCATGCTGAGTTGGATGAAAGATTCATACAATGATTGAAATTCATGTAATAGAAAATTAGACAACTTATAACCCTAACTGTTTAAAACTGGTATCTCATACAACAAATAAGAGAGGTTTGAAAAGAAAATAAGCCACGCAATGCAAAATTGCCATCCTAGTACTTTTATATTGGTATGATACAAGATAGGTTCTATTTGGAACAATCCAATGTGTGAGTCAGGATTCAGATTTTGATCTAACTCTGTGCAGTTAGTCACTTTCATTCCCTGACGAATTATCCTTGCCGGAAGAGTTTTCCTTTCCAGATGCATTTTCTTTACCAGATGACTTTTCCCTTCTGAAATAAAAGATAGATAAAATAAATGATCGATGCATAGGCCTTCAAATATAATTATACTTGCACAAATCATAAAGCACTTACTCGCTGTCAGAGTTGTCTGAGTTGTCAGACTTGTCAGACTTGTCAGACTTGTCTGATTTGTCTGATTTGTCGGAGTGATCTGATCGATCTGATCTGTCTGATTTGTCAGACTTATTAGATTTACGCTTTTCACTCTTTCCTGAATCTGAGTCTGATTCACTTGTTGAAATTGTCTCCTTAGATATAATACGACTTTTCTGGGCCTTAGACATGCCCTCATCACTTGGTCTGCTTTTCCGGGCTCCTTTCTCCTACAGGTAACAAAAACCATAATAGTTGAAACATAATTGGGTATTTATTTTGAATACATATATAGTTCAACTCCCAACTTGAATACAAACCACTATCCTTGACCGCTTCTTTGTAGGACGATCACTACCGGATCCATCCTCTTTCCTTCTCCGTCTGCTTCCGCTCTGGGACTTCTTCTTACGTTCCCTGAAACATGAAATAGATGCACTTGGCTACCACACTTCCTTTCTCCATGAATGAACTGTTTCAAGATTTTATTAAGTGTAGACTTACTTTGGTTTCTTTTCTCTAGGCTCTGAAGGACCAGCCTCTCCTTCAGATCCAGAATCTGAAAGAATTTCTCCATCCCCTGTGGTTCTGCGGCCGCGACCTTTCTTGGGCTTCATTTCTGGAGGGAAATCAGCAAATGTGAGTGCGTTCTTGGTCTTCTCCTTGTACTCAGCACGTCGCTGCAATAAATCTTCTTGAGCTTGACGCCGGCGCTCCTCCATGAGTTTCTGTGGAGAAAGGATAAAATAGTTAGCAAATATCATAAACACTTGAAAATTACTGTAGTTTACATATTTGAGAAAAAAAAAACCAAAACACCTACCATTTCCTTCTTCTGTTTCAGTCTGAAAGCAGCTCTTTCTTCCTCCTGTTTCTTTCTCATTTTCTTTTCTTCTTCATCCACTCTTCGTGCTCGAGCAACATGATATTGTGCTTGAGAGAGAAGATCTTGGCATTGCCTAGCCTCTGCACCAGCTAGATTCACATCATACCGCATGCGATCACCATGTACAGAGAGGTGTTCAAAGTATCTATAGAAATGTGATAAAAAAATTAAAACTAAAAAAACTGAGCTGGTACTTAAAAATTAACAAAAAGACATTGTAATTGTTAGTGACTTACTTCAAAGAAAGACCAAGATCAGTCACAGCTTGGAGTACTGTACTGAGGGTTGACTTCTCATCTTTCAGAATATGAGTAGCCAGCCTTTGGAGTACTAGTGCTATGTTGTATAAGACAACAGTGTCGAGAGGGGCAACACGACGTGCTTTCAACAGAACTGTGCGAGCTTCTCGCAGTTTGCCTGCTTTGAAGTATGCACGAGCTAGGTATTGTAAAACTTCTACATTGTGATATTTATAGAATTTCCTGAGACAATTCTCATACTGAAAAGAAAAAATAGATAGATAAAATAAGTGTATTTATGTATAGGTTACACAATTTTATTACTTACTGCAAACTTAAAATGTGAAAAGAAAAATAAATTTTACCATCTGAATAGCACTAATGTACTGCTTTTGCTCAACATATATGTGCGCAATGTTGAGCCAAACATCACAGAAGTCTGCCGTAGCTTCACGAACTTGCGCAAAAATATCACGGGCTTCGTTGGTACAGCCTTTGTGTGCAAGAACAGCTCCGATTCCATTTGTAGCCCATATATTTCTAGGATCTATTCTCAACACACTTTTGAAGATTTGAAGTGCTCTTTCCTGGTGGCGCTTTTCTTTTTCTTTCTCCTTTGTTGGTTGGTGTAGAGTTGTGAGCCAAACATTTCCCAAGGCAATGTGAGAATAGGTATCAGTAGAAGTAGCAGGGTTCTGCAGAGAAAATTAAAAATAGTGTTTTTGAGATATTGTACTGTATATACACTAAAAATAATTACCATGACTACACCTACATTTAAAATCCTCTCAAATTTCTTTTGACCAGGCTGCCACTCCATCTTGGCTAAATGGAGGTTTCCTAATAGAGACCAGGCATCTGGATGCTCAGTATTGATACGCAAAGCATCTTTGAACCAATCAGAAGCTTCATAAATCTGACCTTTATCTCTTGCCATACAACCAAGTCTGAGATAACCTGAAACCATGCATATGGTTACAAAAGAAACAACACATAAACAAAGTGTACAGTACTTTACAAAAATTGGATTAACTTACAATCTATGTAATTAGGATGCTCTTTTAAAATGTCCTTATATAACCTTTCAGCTTGGTTAAATGAACAAAGAGCTTCATGCAGTCTTGCCAAGTTGTAAGTCGTGGTCACTGCTATAGAGTTATAATATTGTGGATCTTGCTCAGCTTCAGCTCTTGATCTGCCCAGGGATTCAGCAAAGCTGTTTTTAGATTCTTCCAAATTTCCCAATCTAAATAAGATGAAAAATTCATGTTATTGTTAATAGATTTTTGAACCTTATATGTAATTATTAATGAAAAATAATAATAATAATAATAAAATATGGTAATACCTGTAGTGCAAGGACCCCACATTGTTCAATATTTCTGGAGGAACTTCTACCTGAACTTTTTCTTTCAATATACGGATGGTTGTGTGATAAGCTTGAAGGGCACCTGCCAGATCTGACTGTTCAAGAATTTGTGCCATCTCGATCCAAGCCTCTACATCATCAGGAAATTGTTCTGTAACTTTACGTAGATGACTTCTGGCAATGTCACGTTTAGACTGGCTGCTTGAGTTAGCATAAAGTGAACCCAAAATTTTCATAGTTTCGTAGTTTGTAGGCTGAATTTTGAGTACTTTTTCTAAACATTGTGCTGCCTAAAAAAAGAAAGGAAGAATTATAGGCTTAAAATTTTGGGCCACAGGTTAGATTAAGAAAAAAGATATGTGAACAAGAATTGAGAAAAAATACACTTACATTTTCTGTGTCTCCTCTGTATATATACATTTGCCCCAAACCAAAGTGAGGGAGAACAAAATGGGCAGGGGCAAACTGAGTCGCTTGATAGTAATATTGGAAAGCTTGATCGTAATCTCCTTGGACATGCAAAGCACGAGCAAGTTGGTAGCAGCTTTCAGCCCTCATTGGTTCATTTTCTGTGTTATTAATAGCATGTAGGGCTAGCTGTCGCACTTTCGTATAATCCTAAAATAAAGAACACAGATTTTATATTATAGGCATCTCATAATTCCAAGAAACACATCACAAAAATGGTAATAGGTATACAAATTACCTTCTTGAAAAAGAAATGATTGGCAAGATGATTTAGAACCATAGCATTTGTTGAGTCTATTCGGTAAGCTGTTGATAACATTTGTACACCATCCTTGATACTGTCAGGCTCTTGAATATTCAATTTCAAAACAGCAAGACCCACCAGTGCTCCAACACATTTAGGGTCCAACTGCAGCGCTCGCTCAAAGGCCAACCTAATAAATAATTGTTTCATTTTTAAATACAATAAAGTGCATGGTTGAAGCACTGAAAGTCTCAGTATTTAATAAAATACTGTATTGAACAAAAATTGTTTCCTTTACCTGGCTTTATCAGGGTTGCCCAGTTTCATAAAACAGTGACCCATACCCAGACGTACAGCACCTGGGCAATTGGGATTGGTGCGAAGGGCCTTTTTATAGAAGGCTAAAGCTGCCCTGTAATCTTTCTTATTATAAGCAATGCAAGCTTTACCAAGTAATGAGGGGATGTTATTGGGAGATTGATTTAACACAAAGTTAAATTGTGTTTCAGCTTGATCCATTTTGTCTCCCTCAAGCAAACGGCAATAAGCTCTACCCAACATGTGATTCTGAAAGACAAAACAAAGTTTAAATTTGGAAGCAAAAACTGAAAATTAAGACCATGGCGTAAGACCATACAGACCTGGTCATACATGATAATTTTATCAGCTGTGTTGTATAGTAAATTGGCTTTGTCAAACAGCTTATCCCTTTTCTCTTTGATACGCTCTTGATTAGCCAGCTGCACATAGTATGCAGCCAGCATATCAAGAGCTCGCATCTGATCCCTTTCATAGTCATTGTATTCGGTATTAGCCTCTTGGGTGGAACGTTCTAGGATTGTGACAAAGTCTTCAAATTTGTTCTGTTTGTAGTACTCAAGCTGTAAAAATAATTCATGATAATAGGGATGATGCCAGATGTAATCACTCTAGAAAGGTAGAGGGTGATTCTTACCGCAACGTTGACCCATAGTTGAAGTTGGACGTGCTCCTGACACAAGATGGAGATGACAACTTCTGCTTCAGGCAGTTGGTCAATTTTTAATTCTACAACCTAAAATTTAAGGGAGGTTGGTTGAAAAGGACACTGTTAGTAAAGAAACCAATGTTGAAGCTAGGAAACATATATCATTGACAAAATTATTCTATACAGACACAAAGTGTAACAATAACAAGGAAACATAGTAAAGAAAACACTTCACAAGCAATATGAATTTTGACAAGAAGGGTTTTAATTGCTACTTCCAACCGTCCAAAAAACAGTTTCTTGAAAATTTACATGGGTGCAAACAAATAGACTTGGCCTTTTATTCTGAACGATAAACGTTGAACACAGATTAAAATGGTCCAATAAATTTGAATCAAAGTATCTAGCAACGGCTTACAACCTGTCAAGAGTGCGGCACCAAAGCCAACTTTCTTATGGCACACGGCCCAAAAAATGAAAAAGGGCAGTCGGCACTTACTTCGTCAGTTTCCCTTAGCGGAATTTCAATTGATCCGGACATTTCAGTGGATAAATGTCACAAAACTTGCAAAGAATAGTGATCACAGCTTACGAAAACATCGCCGACGTCTGCCTGTGTATAGGTTAGGCTGTGTACTCAGTCAAGCCAACATCAACATCACGCGATTTCGAGATTCCGCCGAAACGTCTGTCAGGAGTGCCAACATGTGTTGCAAACGCTGAACTTTTCATCACGTTTAACCGGTTTAACATTCAACAAAAAGGAAGTAATTGAAGAGAAAGAGATGTACGCAGCTGACTTTGTTTTTATTTTGTTGTATACTGTATTCACAAGACAATCATATCAAACAAATCCAATAATTACACTTTGACATCCTTCTTTTAATGTAATATGTAATATGAAATGTGCCCACAAGTACAGAATAACGAAAAAATAATTACAAAGAAATAAAATACAAGTAGTACCGCAAATAGTTGACGAATAGTACAAGTTGATAAAAAAAAAAACGGAAACATAAAAAAAACCTTTACGACAGGAAAAACCGTTAAAACATATGACATTAATCTGAAGACAAGAGACAAGACGTCATGATTATGAATGTGATGGAACAATAAAATGAAACAAAAGAAACAAAACAGAGTACCCAGGCCAGCTGGCAATGTAAATATTAGCAACTTAGCATAGGTAAAAAGTCACATACAAAACATAGATTTTACAAATTTACGAGTGTAGAGAAAAAGTCTACATTCATATCAAAATAATAATACTTAAGACTCGATTTGCTTGGATTAAGTTCAAGCAGGTACATGTGACTTAAAAGTGCTGTACCCTCCAAAAATATTATACAATAGGAAATATGCCAGTCTTATCTAAATTTAGATTATAAAATTAAAAGGCTTGTTTCATATGTGTATTAAGTTGACCTCTGTTAGCATGAATTTAAGAAGAAACTAGAAGCCAAGTGGGTTACTCTGAACAAGGCCAGAATTCTGACAGACATTCTTAGAAATATTAGCCATTTTGGAGAAATTTCCTAACTCGGTACTTGATGAGAGGGCTTTCAAATTCTTCTCTATCCTTGCAGAAGCCTAAAGAAAATTCTTTTATTAGTGAGATCCAGTTAATTCATTAAATTGATTGAAAAAGAATAGATTTGTACTTACTTCATTACACCAGAGCTCTGTCATGAGTTTCTCATGTTGTGCAGATGGAGATTTATTATTCAAAGATTGGGTGCACCGAGACAAAACCACAACCATGGTGTACAAATCAATAGATGCATTAGCAATTCTATTTAAAACAAACTGCTCTTCAACAATTTTTCGGTTGTATTTTATTAAAGCTGTTTCAATAGTCCTTCCAAAGTCAGCCACACACTGCAAAGACAATGGTAAGTTTGAGTCCAATGATCAAATTTGAATTAAAACCGAAATTTATAAAGAACACACCTTGGATGCTTGCTCAGCACATGGCTTCAATTCAGGGTGGACATATTTTGTCATGTCTGGGCCAGAGTCGAGGCCAACAGAAGCAATGGCCCGTTTTCTTGCCTCACCAAGAAGAAGACCCAAATTAGCAGCAGGGTTTTTAAAAGCTCTTTGCAACTCCTTAAGATGTGCACCTGCAAACTGAATACCTGTGCAAGAGAAAACACAGGTTGAGTGTAAGGTTCAATAGTTTCAACATGAAACCTTCAAGCTTCAAGCTAACATTTCTACAAGCTTACCAGTCAGTGCAACAAAGAGCCTCAAAATGTCATTGGTACCCTCAAAAATTCTGAAGATACGAAGATCACGCATTACTCGTTCAAGACCAGATCCTCTCATGAAACCCATGCCTCCCATGATTTGAATAGCTTCATCAGTGACATACCATGCACATTCTGAAGCAAACACCTGAGAGGACAGGAAATAATTTTAAAAATATAATTGCACATGAGGTGATGTCCAAAAGTACAAAAGAGCAAAAGTGCATCAACTGAGATAAGATAGCACAGATTACCCATATACTACACAAAGGTCAAAACATTCCCATGTCTAAATGAGCATAATATTTAAGAAGGTGATCTACACAAACCTTAGAGATGGCTGCTTCAAGGTGATAGTCCTGAGAGCCGCTGTCCATATTTCCACTGATCATATAAGCAATACTTTCAGTGACATATTGCAACGTCGACATGCGAGCAATCTTTTCCTGAATGGCACCATAAGAATCAATGCGCTGACCAAACTGCATTCTTTGTGTAGCAAAATCAACAGCCGTCTTGGTTACTGAACGCATGGTTCCAGACATAGCAGCAGCCATGCCAAATCTGCCATTGTTTAAAATATTCATGGCAACTTTAAATCCATTTCCTACTCCACCAAGAACATTTTCAACTGGAATCTTGACATCTTCATAGTAGACTTCAGTAGTGTTAGAGCATTTGATGCCCATCTTTTTCTCTGGGGGTCCATTGGTAACACCTCCAAATGAGCGCTCAACAATGAATGCTGTAACTTTGTCCTTTACCTCCCCTGTCTTCTCATCTTTGACAGGGGTCTGAGCAAAGACTGTCATGATCTCTGCCAAACCTCCATTACTGATCCAAATTTTGCTTCCATTCAAAACCCAATGTTTTCCATCAGGAGAGGGAACCGCTCGGGACTTAATGGAACCAGCATCACTTCCACATGAAGGCTCTGTTAGACAGAAGGCAGCAAACTGCTTCTCAGTTGTGACTCGGGGTAGATATTTAGCTTTTTGCTCTGGTGTTCCAAACAACAAAATTCCCTGAAAAAATACATTTCATGTTATGAACAGACAAGATATAATGAAAATACATGTCAAGGGAATATTTATATTAGAAAAATACCTTGAATCCAATTGATTGATGAGCTCCCAAAGTAATTCCCACTCCAAGGTCATTTGCACCAACAATTTCAACAAGGCGGGCATATTGTGTGTTGTTGAGGCCTAGACCACCAAGGTCCTGAGGTACTTGCAAACCAAAAGCCCCAAGCTCCCAGAGCCCCTCCAAAGATTGATCTTCAACCTTCTCTAACTGGTCATTCTTCAAAGGATCGTTGACTTCCTGTAGAGTAGAGGATGCAGAGTAAAACGCAGAAGGCAAGGTATGTAAAAGGACTGAGAGAAAACAAATGTGCACAAACCGCAAAGAACTTGGTTGTTGGGTCAACAAGCATTTGAAGCGTATCAACCTGCTCCTCGTCTAATACTTGAGGGTATGGAAAGACCTGGCTGGCCTGCACATGGCCTCGAAACATGTTCATCACAAAGGACTGCGACTTGGGGGCAGGCTTGTTGGACTTCTCTGGCTTGCCCGAGGAACGATACGCCGTTGTGGAAATGCATCTGAAAACACAATCTACACTCAAAACCGGAGGGATAATGTGAGCTACAGCCCCAGACGTGGCACGCAAAACCGTGAAAAGGTACAGCCAACAGCACACAAACAAGCAGTACTACTGTACAGAGAGACAGACAGGTCCTTACCGTGTGGCCGTGTCAACCAGCCTCAGCCTGCTGACAGCCTCGGCGCTCGTCACATTGACTTTGTTCACCAGCCTGAGAGAGTGCATCTTGGCAAGGAGGCGGACGAGCAGGAGGGTACAAGCTGAATCGGGACACTATGGCTTACTGCCCTTGCGGCGCGTAGAGCTTCAGGCACTAGTGGTGTTGCGATTATTGGATTTTGGACTTTGCACGACGATGAGGGATCATCAGCTGGTGCTGATGTGAAACCTCAGACGTAACTGGTCTGTTGTTGCTGCTGCTGCTGCGGCTGCAGAGTAGACTGAGGTGAGGTGGGGCGTGGGGTGGGGCGGACGTCAAAAGAAATGTGATGAGAAATCTAGAGGGCGAAACGTCGCGACGTCATGACGTGACACTGCGTGACACAGTTACTGACTGCGAGACGCTCTTGCCGCCTTCGCTTACGTTGCTCTGAAGAGCTACGTAATGGTCCCTCAGGAAGAATAGCGAGAAACATGCACTCTCCGTATCTATAATGATAATGTCGTTACTGTAGTAGAGGATGCATTTACTAAATTTTCATATTCTAGTCTCGCGAAAGGCTGGCCGGCAGAACTTGGTTACAGTGATTCGGCGAAATACCGTGCCACCGTGCGCCCGCGATACAAATATTCGGTACCGGTACGGAGAGTAATTTTGTATTGAACACCTTGGATGAAACTAGGAACAGGATTTAACCCAACCTCTGTACTCTCAGACTATGATTTAAAGGTGTTCGATGGGGATATAATTTTTGAGATGGAGAAGAAGCAACACACCCAATAGAGAAAATTCCAAGAGTAGTAGCAGCAGTGCTCAGCAAACCACAGAAATGTAGACATATCGCTGTATTTTTTCATTAGTGCTGCGATTTTCACCCGCCAAATGCTAGGCGCCAATGGTGTGAGGTAGTTTTTCACGGTCGAAACATTTTCCTTTCACACGAACGAAGGGGTGGTGGTGAAGGGGGTGTGAGGGGTGTGGGGGCGCTGCGCACGCGCGCTGCGGACTGCGCCAGGCCAACCCCACAATCAGCTGTCCTGTCCTGTCGCATGGTCCGGTGCGCCCTGGCGCCAGGGCCACGGCTAGCGGTAGCTAGCGGCCGCCCTACCCCCGGCGTGTCCACCAGCTCCCGCCCTCGTCGCCGACGGAGCCTCTCACCACGACCGACATCGCCATCCAGGGGGTGAGTTTTCTTCGGTTCTGCGGCTCCCGAAGCTCCGCCTAGCTCCACCCTTGGAGGGGTCCACCCCCCGTCCTCGGCTGCGCGCTCATCTCAGCCACAGCGGCGGTTGATCTTGCCAAGTCGTTCGCTAAGAAGATTGGCGCAGCCGGTTATAGGTGAGTTCCTCGGGGGTGGCCGGCACTCGTGGCCGTCAGTAGGCCCGGGCTAGATGAGGTTTCTCCAGGGCTCTGCGGCAGATCGTCAGTCAGGCCGCACTCGGTGTTGTGCTGGTGGCGCCCGTGGCGCCTCGTTGGCGCCTACCCCTACTCCCACCCCCTGGCCGGGGGGCAGCACCCAGCGCGCCTCCCTGGCGCCGGACTTGTCGGTCGGTCGCTGTCGCTGGGTGGCAGGGCGGGGGCTGAGGGGGGCACTAACCCCCGCGACCCTCACCAAGAGGGCCCTCCTGAAGGAGCACAGTTGACGACCGCTCTTCGATCATTTCCTCCCGTGAGGTGGAACTCCCCTTCGCCTCTCCACCCACCTCGGCCTGCACAAACTCAAACACCCCCGTGCAGACGAAGAGGGAGGTCCAAAGCGAAGCTCGAGACGAACCCCACGCTTGATGAATGCCTTCCTTCCGGGGGGATGTTGTAGAAATAACGTTCCACATAATTTACCCCGATCCACTTATCAGTCCTGCCCTTCTTCTGTACCCCGCAGAGCAGGCGGCTGCCCAGGCGGCTGAAGCGTGGCGCCTGAATCAGCAAACACCCCGGCGAGCACCATGAGGCTGAAGACCGCCTCCCCCATAGAGGAGCGGGTCGTGGGGAAGTACAAGGTAAGCGCATCTCGTTCCTTCCGCGAATTCAATTCGTAGCGGTTGAGCCGGTTGAGCTCATGGTCAAGCGTCCAGCACTCTTCCATATTAACACTGCTCTAAAGTCACCGCAATGCCTCTCGCACCCGAAGGCGTTGAATTCTAAAGCTGTTGCGGGCCTGCCTGGCCTGCTCACCGAAACGAACGGCGTCGGCAAGAAGAGATGCACGCTGTAGAAATAAAACGGTTTTGTAGGTTGCGGGGCATAGCGCATTGGTTTCGCCTTGTCCATCGTGTTTGGAAAGCGCGCGGGTGCCTCAAAGACAGGCGAATTACTGATTTTGGCTCGGATTGCTCTGCAGGGTGCGGTCTGAGTGAACCTCCCACTCCCCACTCGCACGCAGAGCAATTCGTCTCAATGTAGCGGTTGGGCCAGCAGGTGTGTGGAGGGGGAGAGGGGGAAGGGTGCTTCAAAACACTACGCACGTAGAGCGAGGACCGCAACCAAGCGTTACGATGGGGAAAAACGTGAGGGCACGTATCAGACGCAGCGTGTTAGTGCGTTTGTGTGTGTTAAGGGGGGGGGGG